GCCTCCAACCTAAGAGCGATGGCCTCCAACCTCAGAGCGATGGCCTCAAACCTAAGAGCGATGGCCTCCAACCTAAGAGCGATGGCCTCCAACCTAAGAGCGATGGCCCCCAACCTAAGAGTTATTGAAGAGTTATTGAAGTTCGCCATCCGAACAGTTTTTTGAAACTTCCTCATGAACCAATTCCATGGGGGAGTCGTTCCACAATTCCACACTGTTGTACATGGTTTGGGGGATATACCTTCTAGACTCTAGACTCTCCAGACCTTTTTAGGAGGTTCCCAACCCAGTGCTGTTGTACTATGTTGTACTTAGAAGTGGGCCAATCTGATGCAAATCTGGGATACAAATTGGGAAATAGCTTCAGCGCCTTTGCGAACTCCTCTTCCTGCTCCCTGCTTCGAGGCATCTGTCCCTTCGCAAAGGGTCTTTGAGGACATCCGAGGAAATCCACGAAGACCAGGGTTCTTCCCGAAGGCTCATACTTCCTGAGCTCATACTTTGAAGGCGGCGGGAGGTGTTGCGCCAGGTGTTCCGCTTTAGGATTGACACACAACAAAAAAACGCATCGAGAATGCGAAGATTGGAGCGTCTTGGTCTGGAATCCATGGTTGTGCAATGAGTATCAATTAATGAGTTATGTATACAATTATTATACAATATAGACACTTTTCCAAAGACCCACCACGAAGCTTTCAAGGGCAGTTCATCTCAATAGACCACCAAGCTTCTCTTTGGCTTGCTGAATGGCCTGATCCAAACACTGAAGCTTCCTCCCCAGCGGATCTGGATGAGCTTGGAAGTACCAGGTGTGCGACACGGACAACACCAAGTCATCTTTTGAAGGTTCCTGGTACAAGGTCGGGCTCAGATCCTGCTGTCGTGGCCAAGGCACGGGCAGTTCGGGTAGAGACTCAGACCTCAGAAAGACTCCTAGCCATGGCCTCCAACCTAATAGCGACAGCCCCCTCCAACTTAATAGCGATGGCCTCCAACCTATTAGCAATGGCCTCTTCACAATGTCCATGTTAAGTGAGCAGTGCGGTGACCCCATTTTCGGCACCAATGGTCAATTTCGGTCAGGGGATCAGGCAGGGCGATCATTGAGCGAAAAGCTTTGCAGGAAAACCTGGAGCCTCAGAGTTCCTCATTGAGCTCTGTCGATTCGATTCTGCTCGAATTGACTCTGTGACAGTGGCAGTTCTCTTCGCTTCTTCGTTTGGGCAGAAAGAATGGTGACAAAAGGAATGCCTCTTCAGAGGATCGGGTTCCAACAGAGTTCCGACGACCCCAAGATGGGCACCCATTCTCCACGTAAGACTTACTGGAGCAACACGAGTCACGAGGAAGCAATTGCCCCCCTGAACTTGCTCCAAACCAAGAGAGGTTTTTCACAGCCTTATAGCCTAGCCCATCCCATACTATACCACAGACTGGGGTCCGAATGTTCAGGTACTCTCAACCGTACCACTTGGAATCTTCAGAGAGTCAAGGAACTTGATCAGCCGAATGCTCTGTTTTAGGCCTGGCACCGCCTCAATCGGGTGCATCACTCGTTCGCGTTGCGAGAGTAGTGCTTCCAAGAATAATGCTGCGGTAGGACGGTAGGAGCCCTAGGAGGGCGTGTCCTTAAGCCAAGTGCCTGCGAAAGGATCTACAGTACTGGATCGAAATCCCCACTTCTGCGTCACTCCAGAAGTGGCCACATCATCTGCAAAGCACTTCTACCTTCAGGAACCCTCCGAAAACGGTACGGCCATCACTTCGGACCGACCACGCTGAACCTGGGCACCGGACTTGCTAGGAAACACTGGACTTGCCAGGAAACACCCGAACGAACGGAGTATGAGTGCGGTTTCACTTTAGCAAACGCAATTGCATAGCACAGTGCAAGTTCGCCCAACTTCGCCACGGAGTGGCCATGAGCCTGGCCTCTTCCAACCATCCCACCATCCGCCTGGTCGTGCGGATTGGCGACGACAGCTAATTCCCAAGTGCGCGTTCTGCGGCTCTTGGAACGTGAAATGATCATTCATGATCCCCAAATGGATAGGATTGATGTCCAATACAATTTTAGTGGGGAATCTACTTTCTATCTATTGGGGGACCACTATGCTGGAATGGAGGCACTGCGGCACAAGATCGTCTCACTCGTGCGGTTTTGACTTCTTCAGGCAGTGGGTTTGGGGTGGAAACTGGGCATTCGTGCTCCAAATGAAAGGAGTTGAAAGCTGATAGACTCAAAATGTTACCATGAATCCCTCAAAAAGGGATGAAAAGTAAAGGCCCTTCAGGGAAATATGTCGCATCAAGTCATTGAGGGATACTATGGGCTACTGTGTGAAGCTTCACAAACAAGAATACTTTAGAGTACATCACTTCTAATGCGCCGAAGGTGTCACATAATTACTAGTTGTGAACTATTCAGATGGGCGGCATACTTCTTCGATGCCGTCCACCTTCCTGGCCTGGCTGAAACCCTGGAAACCCCCCGCATCCCACACCAACCACCTGTGTCACTGCTGACTTCCAGCTCCAGAGTGCTCCAAGGACCTTCTCAGAAAATATGAGCACTTGGAGCCCAAGTGACAAGGCAAAACGTTCATCATCCCCTCCTGCGTCCAGTGCGCGTCCAGTGCAGCCGACATCGGCACCAGGCTAAGAGAAGCTTTCGCGTGAGGCTTGTTCTGCGAATGTACGCACATGCATGCCAGGAACGCTCAGCAAACTGAACATGCTATATAAGCATCTATATCACTTGCATGCGAATTCTTGCATACGAAGTACGAGCATGTCATGGTGGTAAACCTTAATGGAGCGTCTCGCGGCTCGAGCCAAAAGATCAGAGCGTCAAAAAGACGGGCTATTGCGGTGAATGGAACACCGGAAATTCGATGCAGCAAAATCAAGCATTCAGAAACTGATCCACTTCCTGGATCCCATCCCATCCACTTCCTGGATTCGGTCAGGAAGTACCAACCACTTGCTGAGCAACATCTGCTCACCCCTGTAGGTGTTCCCAGGTTCACAGCTTCAACACATGACATACACTTGCGCACCGCAAGCACACTTGCCCCACCTGCGGCGTGTTTCCTATGAATCCATTCAGAATACATCCGCAAAAGCTGCTCGGGGTGGGTGCAGGGGGGGGTCTGTCCCTACCTGATACGACGGGCCAGCAGTTGGAGACTCTCCCATTGAGGTTTTGGGGAAAATGGGATTGCATCATTGCATCCTGGGTTCATAATATGTATAGTTGTTGGATGTGTCCCATTCCCTGTAAAAGTGGATGATGATTGTTAGTAAGGGCCTTTCTCAAGAATAGTGATAATCTGTTATTGACTGTTACAGGTCATGGGAAACACACAATATAGTGATGACAATGACTATAGTACTGTCTCCGATGTTTTGATCTTGCTCACTAGTTGCTACATTCCTAAACTCAGGTGCAAACACTTCGGCACGCCATTTCTCCTGAGAGATTTAGGATTCAGTTGCAAAGATCCGCCGCAAAGTCTTGTTGGTCTTATCACCGGTGGAAGAGCCAGGCTGTTGAGCCTTTGCATCGGATCTTTCTTTCAGTGGTTTTCGCAGCTCCTCTCAAGCACTCTGAAAGTCACCGTAATGCCTTTTCAGCCAGAAAGGTGACTGAGGTCTGCTGAGCTCTGAGAAGTTCTGCATGCTCTGAATGCTCTTTTCACGGACTTTCCTCTTAAGGCTCTGACTCCCTGAGCCAAATGCTGGGAGACAGAAAGCACCAAATGAGAGCTGTGTTCGTAGTCCAGTATTCAAATGTTGGATTGTATATTGACTCGATGGGTGGTCCTGTGATTGCCCAACTTGAACTTGCTGGACATGTCTCATCTCATGAAAAAGAACCACCTCCGAATCAAATGCAAAAACGTTGCGAAATAGATCCAGTCGATCCAGTGGTTAGACGCGCGCTGCGCCTTGAGATTGTATAATAAATAGGCTGAACGTAGCTCGGCCGTTGCCATAGAAGGAAAGCTGCGTGCATACCAAAAGTAGTCAAAGCCATGTCCGAAAAATCTGTCATGTTCACACTGTCACATCGGCCAAATCGCACACTCACTGATCGGTCAAATTGCCTCACACTCAGCAGTTTCTGAATCTGGGTTTGCTTTGTTTGTGCAATGCTTGAAGCACATGTACCAAGCAGCGATGTCACTTCGCGTCTTTCCCGCCAGGTCTTCTGGCTAATAGCGGCCGACTTTGTGTCAGGACACGGCTTAATTTCACTCAAGGAGATGTGTTGTTGATGTTGCCACTACACAGTTGAAGAACTTGAAGACGTGTGTATCTTTCGTGTCTAATTGTCCACACTGACATCTGAAGCATCTTGAGCTGCACCTGCTGTGGGTTGATTGAAGGACTGCTTGGACAGCAAGGGCTCCTTGGACCGCTCGCGCTCCTTGTAGCATCCGGTAGCTGAAGCGTAGAAACCCAGAGATGGACGTCGCAGCTCTCATCAAAATCATCAAAGCGCACTCCCGAAGGTTGGGTCTTCGCAGTCTCACAACTGGCATTTGAAAGATTTGATATTCTTCTCTCAGAGGTCATTTGACGATCCCTACTTTTGCGCGAGCTTTAGGGCACCGGGATGCGTATGGTAGCGAAGACAAAGGGAAAGGAGTGAGCACTCTAGGAGATGGAATGGAAATCTTGTGAAGATTCAACTTTGCAAAGGATTCGAGTCCCTTTGAGTGTTTTGCTTTTGTTGCCCGAATCTGCCGTTTTGGATGCTTCAGACTATAGGGAGCTTGAATAAGCTAATCTGATTGGCGGGCATTGAAGCACTTGATGCTTTCGTTGCCACGCACTTGGAGCAACCTCTGAAATTAAAGATGCTGATGTCACTGATGTTGCCCAAGTTGCCGTGCGGGATCTTAGGAACTTAGTCCGGTCTGGTCGCATGCTGCCTCCTGAGAAGATCTTATAATTTGGCCGAGCTCAGTGCCAAGAGTCAGGACCCTTCCTGCTATCTTTGCACTTCTCCAAGCCAGTGCGTCTTTGGAGCTAAGAACTTTACCCGTCTCTCCCAGTTCCGCTTTAGCTGCTTTAGCCTTCGTTTCAAGCAAAAGTTGAATGGCTGGTATGGCTGTCGGCTAGAAACATAATTAGTGATTTTGTGGGTTTCCTCTGCGACATTCGCCCACCAAAAGCGATATGAGAAATGTGGATTTTTCTCAGCTGTTCTACACCAAGGTCGAAAGGCCTAGACTCTTCTGCAGCCAGTGCGCAGCCGCTAGGGCTGTTAGGGCTGGCGGCTAGTGATTGCAGCATGTTTTCAAAGCCCAGGACAGGTCTGCCACAATGTTCTACGATGTGCCTGCGCAAGGCCTCCAAGTCGCTGCCGCTGCTTCCAGGCTCTGGAAGCCCTTTTCTTTTGAATCACTTGGATATGTCCAACCCATGGAGAAACGTTCTTAGCCTGAGCCTCAGCGGTTCTCTTCGTGGCCAAACATACCGAGCGGCTAGCCCTTGTCGGCAAAACAGCAGGAGTGGCTAAACATGGCTGACGTTGGAGGAGAACTGCTGACACCTCGGGTAATTGCATGATGCACCGCACACATCTTCACACTAGCTCAGCCACCAAGAAAGCAGATCTGAAGTGTTTCAGCCGGCAGGAAGCCTTCGCAAAGCACGAGCAAAAGAAACAGTCAAGTCAATTGTTATTCTCTGCACTGTGTGACTTGGCCTGCCATGCTTTGCTGCTTTGCATCAATGCCACATCGTTTAGGAGTTCAGGATGTTTGGGATTTCACGCCGTCAATCTTCAATCCCTCTCTAGTCTCCTGTGACCCCCACTGCTCCAACAAACTCTCGAAATCAGGTCTCAACGCTTCCAGGTGTCCGACCTTTATCGAGCGTGAAAGCACCGACAGCATGTGCAAATGCCTTCAGTTTGTGGGAAACATCGACCCTAGTCTGCAGCGTAAAAGGTCCTCAGGGATGTGCATGTGAACATTTGTGAACAGCTGACATATCAAAGCCACTCCGAAGCAAAGATAAGTTCTTACAATGTGACAAGTTCAGCACCGCTAGGCAAAGCTCTTCAGGGCCCTTAAGCATCTCAAAAAGGCATGGAAAGGGCGCAGCATGGCGCAGCAAATCGGCATTTGACTCATTGTACTGTCACATGCTCTCCTCAGTTCTGTCTTTGAAGCCGTCAATCTGTTCAAATGGTCTTTCATAGTGGATGTACTGTACTCAGAAGGCAGCTTTGGTGTTCGGTGACCTCGTAGCTTGGGTCGCTTGCGATTCGACACCCTTAAGGAGCGCACCGCGCTCAAAAGCTTTGCAAAGGGATACGCTTCCCATTGCTGCTTTGAGAGGTCTTTGCGGACGAGGCGACCTCATACTCTTGTAACCTCGGAGCAGCGGCCATTCTTTGAGGCGCGACCGAGTTTCACAAACTCTTGAAATTTGATCGGCATCTTCTTGCGAGGCTTGATTTCGATCGGGCGGGGTCCGCTCAACATCGAGTGAAACACTCAGCTCGCTTCTTAAAGTTCTCCACAGAACTTGCTGAATGCGTCAGCTAAACTGCCTACTTTCAAGTGCCTTCGCTTTCACAACATTTATGACATCTTTGCTTGGGACAACACAGTGCGAGATAGCAAACGTATGCAATGCTTGATTTTGCATCATCACATTGGCCCATGCCACAAATGCCAATGTCTCTTTCAGAACATCTGTAAGAGGTCATTGGGAGCCAATGCGTGGTGCGATGAATGCACTCTTCGACTTGAAACAGGACCTTCCGAGGGTGAGACACCGGCAAAGCCTTTCCATTCTGCAAGGCGATGAATGCAAATGAAATGACTGGTTGAAGCAATGCAAAATGTCCCTTTGCGGCAAGGTTTGTATGAACAATCTGATATGTCTGCATCTAAACAGCTGGCATCTTTACCTTTGGGAGTTTCTTTAGCGATCAGCTCCGAGTTTCAAGAAACCTGAGATGGTCTGGAATTAAAAAACCGCCTGAGTACTCGCCTGAGCGCATATTGCCTGGCAATCTGGTCATGGTGACTCTGCGAAATGGTTTTTGCCTTTCTTAATGACTGGTTCTGGTGAACAAGCTCAAGTCCGCGAAGTCCAGTAAGTCTGGCAAGCTCTTGCAAAGGTCGGATTCTGTGTGCTGAAATCTCGGCTTGAAGCCCGATAAACAAAGCAAAACACAGGGCATCACTAGTGGCATCACTGGGCCGTTGCAGCTGGAGCTTTGCTCAAGTAAAAACTGTAGATTGGTGCAGCTGCGGGTGCCTGAGATACTGCTTGAGGTACTGCTGGCGCAGGAGCTGTTTGGCTGTGTCGGATCCCTGAAGACTGCAATTGCACGGCATGGTCTGTACAAACCCAAAGCTGAGAGTCGCAAGCAACAAACACTCGGGAACACTTCCTAAGACACCCAAGTCTGAAACGTCAAATTTGCTGTTTGGGTCTGCTCCGCTCACAGCCCTGGGTGAACAAGCAAAACGGGTTTCAGCGGCTTTTCAAGTGGAGCTTGGAGCTTTACTGCTAACCACTCAAACCGATACAGCAAGCACTGGTGCCGGCTCGAATCTCCTGGAACTTTGAAATGAACAAATCTCACTCAGCACTTACACGTGCGTGTGTCTGCTATGTCTCCATGCCCGTTGACTGAACGGGTACCTGGATGAATGCCAACTGGTTTGGAAACTGATCTGCTTCGAACAAGACCTGGCATGGAACACCCCACAAACAGCTCTTGTTGGATCATCTCTCGGCAGCTCGGGAATCAAAAGGCTCTGGAGAAAAGCTTGCGGAGCTGACACCAGCTTCAATCAGGCTTTGGGCCAGTGCCCCTCTCGCTTCTGTGTTTCAAGAGCCTGTAATCCAACTTGAGTTCAATTCGTGAGCTCTGAAAAGGGTAAGGCAAGACCGTCGAGGCGGTTCTAGATTTCTGGAGATGGGTTCCCATCGATGTTCCCAGAGGCATGCCGTTTCAACGCATCCTGGAACCCTGGAACCCTTGGGTCAGTCACTTTGGAGTTCGTTTCCCATGCCCTTGGAAACCAAACACCAGCTGTGAAGGCCGGCTTTGTTGAGATCCTTCAAGTTCATGGTTTACATGCTTCATCCGTCTCATTCCAACACAAGACTCCATCAGGGAGTGGAGATGGGTCAGGTGCGACCCAGTCCAGTGTGCAGGCCCCTGCACAATATGCCCAGCCAGAGTTGTATCGTGAACAGCTTCACCACCGTGAAAAAGGTTTCGATCGTGGCTGTTGTCCACGTGACTGCACATAACACATGAGCTGCTCGCCCTTAGAAGTCTCTTGTTTTTGACATATTTCGCGGAAACGGTAGAACCTGTTGGTAAAGAAATGGATAGCATCTCGACAGTCCCAAGCGCACATGCAAATGCACTTTACACTTTCCAAATGATTTCAAGGCTTTACAGTAACACGTTTTACACTGCCTGAAGGCCTTGCCGGGTCTTATTGCATTTGCAGGCCACCTTTGCGCAGTTGACTGCAGTGGCTGTTGGTGCCACTTCAGCTCTTTGTTTGGCTAAGGAGCTCCAACAGCAAGAGCGCCGGCTTATTTCAGCTATAAATTGGCTGCGGCCACATCACCTGAATCAGTTCCGAACGCCCTTGGACGTTCCCATTGAAGGTTCTTGAACCCGAAGCGCTAAAAAGGCCTTTGCTGGCAAAGCTTGCTTTCGTTCATGGCCCGGCTTTCAGCACAGTGCAGCACCTACTTGAGGTGCCCAAGCATTATGCTAATCTGGAATAGCTTCAGTCAAAGGTGCACTTTGTGCACCGCAAAACGCTCCAGAAAATGCTGTTTGGAAGTGATCAAGCGTGTGGGTCGCGTGTGGGTCAAAACATGTAGTGCTCACATGAGACGGGATCAGCTTGGCGCTGCGAGATGTGCATGTGCATGAGACTGGATCAGCTTGCGAGATGTAAACAGTCAGCCTCTTGCTGCATGTTGTGGCAGTCAAGGCTTTTTGAACACTGCCTCCCCAATATGGGCCTTTCGAATTACCCAACCAAACTTAAGCACACTCTGGGAGGCACACAAAACATCACAAAACCCTCTTGTGCAAGTCCTGCTTGCAGCTGCTGCATTTCCGTAAGACGTTTTTCATGGGCTAAGGTAAAATGCAAATGGAAAAGGCTTGCAGCAGGAAGTGTTATTCCGGATTGGCCCGAACAAAGCAGGTCGCAAGAGACGCAAGAGACCAACGCCTGCTTCAACCCGAGAACCTCACCGTGACGGTGACGGGATTGGCCTGAAATAGCCTGAAAGCGATCTGTTCTCTGATGCGTCAGGATCGCATATGGCCCATGGCTGACTGGCTCTTGCTGTGAGAGCCTTGAAAATGAGGCAAGATGTGTCAAATCAGTGGCGCCAGCCGAGGAAGGGTTAAAGGAAGCTGAGGATTCAAACGGCTTCAGAATGACTTGGAGGACCCACAACATCTTGAGATTGACTCAAAAAATGAGACAGACAATCTGATGGTCAGGCAGTACGGATTTCGTGCCTGTGCACAGCAGAGTTTTGTGCCTCATGGATGGCAGTCCTGTTTAGGCTGGTAGTTGCTAAATTGGAAGTGCACTGCTCAAACACCTGTGCCAATCCAAGACGCATGTAGGCCTTTCATATAGAAAATGCCAAGAGCGTGCGCTGCACGTGAAACATTCCGTTCGGGGTCCCAAGCTAGTGCGGCTGTCTTGCAGCACATGGAAAGCCAGTGACACCCTTGGAGGCTGTGCGGATGTCTTCCATGCAGTGTATGTTCAGCAAATCATCAGGGAGAGCTTCGAAGACTGGGGCTCAATGCCAGCAAACTTAATCTGAAACATCGGGAGTAACAGTAACTATTCTCTCCGCTATTTCACCTCCAAGAGATTGGTGATTCGTAAAGTTGGAGCTTGTTCTACGCAAGAAATGCTTGGCCCATTAGACGATGACAAAGACTTGGGCTGCAAAAGCCAGATGGACTAGCAGGGCTCTGATAAACAGGTTGTTCTAAGGAAACGCAGCTGAGACATCTCAAGTCTGTGAACATGGACGAATGGGAGAAATGGGCTTCAAGACTTTGCATGATCTGACTGGAGACTTCGTCTGATTGTTTCTTTTGTCTTGTCTTGCTGTATCACTGGCCTTACTTTGCCTTGCCTTTCCAGGTTTGCAGACTTCACCGAATGACTTCGTGCCAGAAACATTAACAAGCCTTAGCAAACTCCATATGCACAGGCAACTGCTCAAACTGCGCACAACGGCACAATGCACAAGTGTGGCAACTGGGACATGCACTCAAAGGCTGCTTTGCTAAACCGGACGGTGTCACTTTGTTTAGATCATGCCCTCAGCTGAGGAGCTGGGTGTCTGTGACGTCTAGTCGAACACGTGAAATTGCTGAAATGCTTGGCACAAGCATGCCCCCGGTGATTTGTGTCCACACTTCAGGATGAAACCTAAGTGCTTAGTGGAGCTGGGCGGCTTTTGCTCTGTGAGGTCTTCCCATGCGGATTGCAAACACAGAGTCTTAAGTGAAATGCCTCAGTCTCGGTTGGGGCTTGGCTTTGGTGGCAGTCAACGTTGGCAACAGGAAATCCCAAGAACAAACAGTATATTGAAAACCAGTGTCAGAACAGTGTCACTGTCATCAATCCTTGCCTCGCCATGGCTACCAGCTTCACTTGGATGCTACTTGCACGGCCTGAGGCTTGCTTGGCTCGTGCACGAGAGGTGAACCGTGAACGTGACCTCCAACTTGCAACGACAATGCTGTTTGCCTCGCCATGTTCCCCAGCACCTGACCACGCCAAATGTCGATTCGTTATTGCAACAGGACGCTGCTTGCATAGGATCAACATGTTCTGCAGTCCCTGTCGTCTTTTGCATGGCAAATGACGGCTTCAATTTCCCACATGGCCAATGAGCATTGTATCTGACAACTCGCAAGAAGCTAAGGCTGCTCCCGTAAAACCAAAGGGACACTTCTTTGCTGTAAAGCTGCTTTGAGGTGGTGACCACTTGTTTTCCACACCAGAACTATTCAACTGCAAAGGACAACTAGCCTACACAGCTTCTTGGTTGGTAATCTAATCAGCTGACTGTAGCTGGGCAAGCATTGAAGGAACTTGACACAAAAGGATCTGCAGCGTGCTGCTCTGAAGCACAAAGAAATTGATCACAAAATGGGCTTCCAAATTCCTGTGTTGTCGTTGGATCCAGCGCTAAAAGCATCAACATATGCACCAATGCCGTCAATGCATCTTGTCTTCGGAAACTAAACATTGAAGTCTTGATGTATTCAATCTGGAGGTGTTCGGGGCATTTGAGCTGTGAGCTGCTTTCTTGCAACCTTCACATGTGCAAAGCTGAATGCCTCTCAACTGCTCGGCATCGTCCATGAAGTCATCCAAGTCTTGGTCGGACGAACTCTACTGAGAAGCTGCACCCTCTGGCTGCATTCTCTCAGTCCTCTGGCTGCATTCTTGCAGTCCTCTGGCTGCATTCTTGCAGTCAAGCCCCCAATCTTTGGACCAAAGATAGGAAAGCAGGCTATGTGGATCTATTTGGGCCAGGAGATGGAGAAGTCCCAATCAGTGTCTGCAAAATGCCTCTGCATAGACCCCGCAAACCTTTCCTCCACCCGCCACAACTTCATCGAGAACTACTTGGGTGAGAGCTACTTGGGCAAGGAGAACGAGAAGACCCAATCAGTGTCTGCAGCACACCTGGTCCAGTGTACACCTGGCCCGCTGGACCCAGCACAAGTTCATGGGCGGCTTTGGTGGCACAGTTCGTTGCCAAGGTTGGTACCTTTTGACTAGCTGACTGACCTACACGATGATACAGCCATGTGGAGCTCAACAGCTTGCCAGTCGCATCAAAGAAACTGTGACACTCTGAGTGCCTCAGGTCTGCAAAACTTGTTGGTCAGTATTTTGATTAGCTGACTGTAGCTCAGCAAGCATTGATGAACTTGACACCAAACAAAGGACCTGCGGTGTGCTGCTCTCAAGCACGAGAACTTGATCACAAGATGGGCTTACGAATTGTGTTGTCGTTGGGTCCAGCGCTGGAAGCACCAACATCCGCACAAATTCTATGCATCTTGTCTTTGCAAACCTACCAATGAAGTCCTGGATTCTTCAAACTGGCTTTGTGTGGGGCAGTCTAGCCACATCCTTCACATTGGCAAGCCTGAACATCTTATCAAGTCAAAAGTCTTGGTCGGACGAACTTTACTGAGAACCCTCTGGCTGTTCTTGCAGTCGGGCCCCGAATCTTTGGACCGAAGGTAGGGAAACAGGCTACTTGGGCAAGGAGAACGAGAAGTCCCAATCAGTGTCTGCAGAATGCCACTGAAACCTTTCCAACCTGTCCTCGGCCCAACTTAACTTCTTCCGGGAACTTGAGAAGCTCCTCTTCAAGCAGGCTCCTTGGTCAACCCACACCTCTCAGCTCCATTGAGAACACACTAAGCTGAGGGGAAAATGGACATTTGGGAAATTTGACAGCAAACACTGCATTGTTGCGATCCGGTTTTGGCCATTGTCACTATCATATCAAGAGGCATCATTGGCTCATGTGCGTCTGGCGCGGCCAAGGCAAGCATGGCTTGGCCAACATGGCGTATCCTCTTGGCCGCTTTGATTCATTCTTTCATCTATATAACGATTTGACCAGCGAACTGCGAGCTTCAACTCCTGTCCCTGGCCTTCATTGCACTTGCTTCACTTGCTTCAAAATTTGTGACTGGAGGGAGTCAGCGGAATAAGCTACTGAAGGTGAACAAGGCAAACCCCGGCGAGTTGCGTGGCAAATGTATTGCACATCTCGCAAGAGAGCCAGCTGCTCTAGCTCGTACACAAGCTGAACAGAACATGGTGATGCCGATGTCCAGTGCTCAATGTTTGGCAAGCTGACTCTTTCCAATTCGGAGTCCAAGTGAAATGAGATTGGGAGAAGTGGAAAGTCTGGGACAATGTCACTCGCATCCCTCATGCATTCGATGGGGCAACGGCACCCGATGATTTGCTCAAGCACTTGCTGCAGGAGACATGCGTCCGAAAGTGACAAAATCAGTGAGCTTCCAGCGGCACACCTGCGACAAAGCAAAGGTTCTACCAAATGAATCCAAAAATGGAATGGCATAATAAGAAGGAATGCTAAACAATGCAAAATGCAAAGGAGCAAAACTCAAAGGAAAAGCAAACTTCAAGGTATCGAACCAGAACAATAATGAAAAAACTTCAGAAACCTCTGACCACCGCCAACAGCCGTGTGATGCCATGCCTTCTTTTTGACACAAATTAAAGGCAAAGGCATAAGCTATACCAACAATATCAACAAGAAAGGTCCTAAATCTCCCCTGGCCATTCAGGAATCCATGTGTGATGCCATGCATTCTGTTTGAAACAAGCCATGTGATCCCATGTGTTCTATTTGGTCCAAGCCAAACATCAAATAGCAAAAGCAAGTTGAGCACCGGGAATCCAGCCTTTGGATTACCTTTGGCGCTTGGCTGCGGCCGGCCTCCACTGCTTGGCTGCGCTCGTTCACAAAACTCATGTGCTGTTCATCACATGAATGTGCTGTTCATCACTGCAGGTCAACCTACCAGGTTTTCGTTCCGGGTTTCAGGTACCATGACTCGCAGTCAGAATGGTCTCCGTTTCCACAGGCTTTCTTTCGAGTTCACAGGCTATACATCCAAAGGTTCTAACTTCGTCTTAGGCCGTCCAAACTCACATGAGTATGCACTCTCCGAGTCTGAAATGAGTTTCTTCGCCTCAGGACGTCATCTCTGCGCCAAAACGGACGGGTCAGGGTTGTACCACCAAGGCATACCTGGCAAGTGGGTGAGTCGACGGACGGAGGTTTTCTCTTTCTGAACACACAGGGGAGCAACATTCAGCCTCGTCTTCCGCTGCAGGGAGGACAGAACGGAATGAAGTCCTGAGAGCAGTCTGCGAACGATTGATGTCTTTGACATGTTGAATTTGTGTTTGCACACACCCTTTCAACGCCAACTGCAAGAGTTTTACATTGCTTGGATTTGCAAAATTCCAAAGCCAGGTCACTCTTTGCTTCTTTCCAAGCTTTGCTCCGTCTGGCCCAATGAGCCAAACGATGCTGCAAGCGGCGGCAAAGGCTGCAAAGTGATTGAATTGTCAAAATGCAATTAGGAAACAAACAAAATTCGCTTCAGCAGCATCAGTGCATTTGGAGAACGGTAAGGATCAACGTGTGGTCTGCAAAGAAAGTGTCATAAATGCACAATGCTCTATGGCATGTGATCACTTTGAATGACACTTGTGCAGCATGAATTTGTGTCAGAGTCTTCTGCTCTCATCTGTCGCCCCCATGCGCGTTGCACCAAACATATGCCAAGATGGGTTGATCATCAAAACCGGAAAGGCCAGGCCGCACGAGGGAGTCAGAGGATGTGCCATGTTGTTTTAACAAAAAAGGTTAACCTTGTTCAACCTGTTCTTGTCTGTAGGCTAGGTGAAGGGAAGCCCTATCATGGTTCCCCCAAGGCGCCATGCGCATGTCTACGCAAAGTCAATGGTCGGTCAACTCCATGAATTCACAAGTCATCAAACTGA